GTCAGCAGTAAACAATACCCTAATCAAAGAACTACCAGAGGGTAAAAAATAAAACAAAACAAAACCCCCACCCCTACCAACACTGGCAGGGCATGCCACTGTATATAAACAGAGAGCAAAACCCATTCCATTCTAGCACTGAAGATGTTACCTAGCCGGGTAATGAAATGTTTGACGAAAACAGCCAAGCTCAGAGAACTCCAAGGACTCCAAACATCTTAAAAATATAAATCTCTTAAAATATAAAAACAATAATAAAATGAATTGATAAAAACGTACGTACTTAAAGTGGAGTTCTTAGTAGCTTCTATCTGCAAAGGGTCATTTCTGCTATATTAGTAGAGCCATTATTGCTCTATGAATTATTCAATTTTTCAAGGCTGCCAATCTATGGATATGGCTGTATTACAGCTATTGTAGTTTTATATTGTCAAATTAGAAAAAGATAGTTTTGACCAATGTTTTCTGAATTAAATTATATTGCAATACAATCTATAATAAATGAATTGTAATCTGCAGTACTACCAGTTATTATGTAAAAAAAGGATTTAGGGCTTCACAATGCACATAAATTTCAGGCAACCAGCTCTATGGCATCCATTAATCTGAAAATTCAGTTTCTACTCCAACTACATCAACTTAAATTTTAATTTAATATATTTGAAAATACAAGTAATTCCAGATTTAAATATAAAGCAATTACATATACTTAACCTACAGCTACTTTCCTTTCTAAACTTCTTAAAAATCATTAACTTATTAAAATATACTCTAGTAATCATCCTCAGCAGACCTAAGAAATAGAAAGTTCTTTTTCAAATTTATTTTTTTTTAATTGACACACTCACTTGTAAATAGCACTTTGTGAATCCCTTTCTCAGCTGCAGGTGATTCCCTGGATCAACTAAAACTCTGAGGATGGAAGAGTGTTCAGCTTTCAGAATATGGAATACCCCCTGGAAGCTGAGTACTCTGTTGCAGAAAGGATGTACAAGGACCTCTGGATGTTAGAAAGTGGGCATCAAAAGGAACAGACAAGCTTTTACCTAATAATTGATTTTAATTATATTGATTTTAATTTTGACTTTACTAGTATTGATTTCACTGTTGTTTTTTGTCCTGAATCTTTCCATTACTGTAAGTCGCCCTGAGTGACTGTACAAACAGAAGGGAATATTAATAATAATTAATAATAATAATACAGAGGAAGCAAGAAAATGTATCTATCTTAGAGAAGACTAATGCTTGGCAAGTTTAAAGCAACTGTAGTATCACTGCTGAATTCTGGCAGCTCTGAACTCTTAATTTATAATGCATCAAGTAGATGGAAGTAACTTCTCCAAAATCAAATGAAACTTAATGGCTGTCACTGCTGACATTTGATGGCACAGTAACATATGTACTGTGATATCAGGGACATCTTGGTGGGAAGATTGGGGAGGGGCATACAGAAGCCTTGGGTATAACTAGACATTGACTTAGGCTGTCTCTTTGGAAGATTGTTTCTTTTTAATGCATGGCTATGAATTGGGGTTTCCATTCTGTTATTCTCTTCATGCCAAGATCTGTTTTTATGCAAAACATGAATCCATTTTTATAGATCAACCAATTAAAATATTGTGCCATATCTTATTATTATTGTGAGAAAAAGTATCTCAATCTTTATGCACAACACAGACATATCAAGCAAAACAACCCAGACACCAAGGGCAAATTCCTGTCAACATGTTAGCAGAATTTTTATTGACATTTCTGATTGCCCTTCTTTAAATAGAAGTCACACATTTCTCCATTATCCCTCTAGGGGGAATCCACGGCATTGCTCAGAAGAAGGGACAAAATAAATGGAGAGTATTACTCCTTCATTTTGCTTGTCAGGATGTATATGTCTGGAGAAAGGACCAGGCAACCATAATGAGGAGGAAGAGATCTGGATCAGCAGTGGGCTTGCGTGCTGTAGTACAGTTTGGCAAGTGCTCAAGAGTACTAAGTTTTCATTTTTAGGAAATCAACATAAAATAAATATTTATATTATCCAACATTCACATCCATTAGCAGCGATAATCTTGCACAGTAAAAGCTATAGCTCTACTCTAATGAAAATACAAATTTCATTCCATCCCCTTTGCTTTCCCATACTTTACATCTTGTTAAAAGTTCACGTTCCAGCTGACACAGCCTAAGGAACAAGCTCCCTCTAGAGACAGCTCACATTATTCCATATTTGGCCTGCAGAGATTGCTACTGAATGATGCAAGGTACATTCTGTGCCTTCTTTAAAGACCAATGTCTCCCTGTGAAAACTCAGAGCTCAAAGAACAGCAACACAGAGCTTACATAAGATTTCCCATAAGAGCACTGTATCATCAATTCTTACACTGTTACAGTAAATGTAAGATGAGAAGAGTGAGAAAAACACACAAGTAAATAAAAATTGTATGATGGTTAGAATTGTTAAAACATGGTTTTAGAAACTAGATTTTTCTCAGAAGCATTATTTAATATAAAAAACAGCATTGAGGAAGTAGAAGAATAATGAAATCAGGAGTTTTATACAATCCATTTGTATAGTACTTTTCAGAAGACTGATGGGGGATTCTTCATTTTTCTTTAGGAAATCATAGTATTTACTAGTTTTGAGAAAATAAAAGTCTTAATTTTAAAATACAGAATACGCTATCTTACTTTTACTGAAACCTTAGCAACTACAATGCATATTCCACCAAGTAATTGGAAATTTGGCGTTCTTCCCCATCCAAAATTTGGGGACATCTTTGTACTTTGCTATAACATTTGTTTGAGAAAACCCTCATTCATTACCCTCTCTCACACAGCACTAGGACCCATCTGTCTTTAAATAACACCACGTGTCCTTTCAGCACTTAGAAATACACACACACCTACAAGTTCATCCTCACAAGAAAAGCAGGCTTAAAGTTTAAAAACAGATTTAACAACAAGCTCTTCATTCTAAATTCTGCTTGAATCTGCCTGCCTGTCTGCCTGCCTGCCTGCCTGCCTGCCTGCCTGCCTGCCTGCCTGCCTGCCTGCCT